TGGACGGCCACGGTCTGCTGCAGGCAGGTGAGGCGGTCGTGCACGTTGAACCAGCGGTAGAGCACGAGGCGGCGGAGGCGCGGCCAGGTGGCGCCGCCGCGGGCCAGCTGCGCGGCCAGGTCGCGGCACGAGGCCGGCCAGCGCGCGTCCGCCGCCGCCCTCCGCGGGGACGCCTCGGCGGCCAGCGGCAGCGGCAGGTCCGGGCGCCAGGACCCCACCAGCAGCCAGGCCTCCTCCAGGGTGTGCCGGTGCGCGCGGAGCAGCGAGAAGGTCGTCAGCTTCGGCATGTGGCCGACCTGCGGGGAAGGCGGGGAGTAGATTAGCCGTGTCCCAAAGGGTACCCCACTAGAAAATCAAGCGCACACCGATTTTTCTGTAGTATTTTTTTTCGTGATTTTTCCTAATTTTTCTGCTTTTGACTTGGTTTGTTCTGATTTTTTGTTCAAGGGTGTACACTGATCTTTTAAGTGAAGTGCCCCGTGGCCTTTGGCGTGTCCCCGTCGCGTCGTCGCGTGTACTCACCCTCAGCCAGCGCAGGCCGCAGCGCCTGGAGCCGGCGACCGGCCTCCTGAAGACGAACTCGTCGAGGTCCGGTGAGTCCGGGGCTCGGGGAGGTCTCGCCGACGAGCGGTGCTCGCCCTCCACGTAAAACTCGACGTCCAGGCGGGTGAGGTGGCGCATGCCCTCGATGACTTGCAGGTGCTGCCGGGCCGGCGAGCTCACCTGCAGCTCCTCGAGGCGTGGCGACACGTCGCTCAGCAGCTGCAGGGCCCAGTCCTGGTCGAACTCGCAGTGCACCTTCGTGAGCTTACGGACGGGCCGCAGGAACTCGGGGGCGAGCAGGGCGTTGCGCGCGCGCGTCTGCTGGCCGGGTCCATATCGGCTCAGCGCCCTCACGTCCAGCGTGAGCACGGGCGGGGCATCAAAGTCGTACTCGGCCACGTCCTCGTCGTCCTCGTCCTCTTCGTGGTCCTGCACGCCACGGGCGGCGAGTCGGCGGGCCAGCTCGTCCTCCTCCCGCTGCACCACGTCGGCCTCCTGCTCCTCGTAGCGCGCCCGCGCCTCCTCCCTCCGTCGCTCTTCCTCCTCCTCATCTTGATGCACCCGTGACTGGTCCAGATCAGCATATTGCACCTGCAGCTGGACCGGTTCCACCTCCCACCGCTCCTCCTCTTGCAGTTCCTCCCACACCTGCAGCTGCTCCCGTAGCTCTT